TTCAGTTCTTCAAAAACTGAAATACATTTTTGTCTTCCCAGTATTATGTTTTATAATTTTCCTCTCTCAATCTCTAAATCCAAATGTGTGCCTTGTAATACATTTAACCAATACCTTATGCACTGGTGAACAGGATTCATTCATAGACAAATTCTGTCTTATGAGAAAAATGCCATAAGAACTGACACTGAAATAAATGACTTCTAGAGGAAAAAAATGCTTGAAGATCCTTGCTTTCTTATCAAAAATGTAATGGAAAAGAATAATAAAATTATGAAATTTGCCAGTAAATGGACGGGACTGGAATCTCTGCTAAATGAAATAAGCCAGTCCCCCCAAACCAAAGACCAAATGTTCTTTCTAATATGTGGATGCTGACTCACAATAAGTGGGGAGAGGAATCATTGGATTAGACAAAGGGGAATGAAAGGAAGGGAGAGGGAAAAGGAATAGGAAAGACAGTAGAATGAATTGGACATGACTTTCCTATGTTCATATATGAGTACATCACAGTGAATCTCAAAATCATGTACAACCATAAAAATGGGATTCTAATTAGAATAAGTTATACTCCATGTATGTATGTCATAATGTACTTTACTGTCATGTATATCTAAAAGGAACAAACTTAAAAAAAATTTAATGTAATRGAAAGTGTCCAATGTCAGTAATAGCATTCACATCTCATCATCCAACACATTTSCTTATTGATCTTCTTACTCAATAAGCATTTAATAAGCGCCTGCTATGTCACAGCCACTGAACTCAGCACTAGTTATTTGACAGTGAAAGAGTAGGAACTGATTMTATCTTTGCAGAGCCGTATTGGTGGAAAGACAAATGTTAAACACCTACATACCAACACATAACAGTGATGGTGGTATTGTGAAGAACAACTCAGTATTCAAGGTGGGGGAGGGATAATTTAGATGGGTGGAAGTTTGAGAATATAAAATTTAAGATAAGTTTKGATGATTTTACTCAACAAATAGTAAAGGTAGACAAGTTGGAAATGTCTTGGGAGAGAGTTGAGCATGTGAAAAGTCCTTGGGGCAGAAAGGAGCTCAGATCACTTGAAGGATTGAAAGAAGACCATTATGGCTAAAGTACAACGGAGCAGGGCATCAATGGGGGTAAAGACAGGCAAAATATAAATTAGGCAGCTAARTGAAGGTCCTATGAGGATTTGCCTAGAAAATCAATGGACAGCTATGGAGGACCTTCATGCTGACATATGGCAAAACTTGACGTACATTTAAAACTTGATATACAATGACCCTTTCTGCCTTTGTTCAAATATTTGCTTTCAGCTCATGAGGTTTATTCTGCACCTTTACATAAATTTTCCGAGAGGAATCCCCATTTTTTTTCCAGATGGGATTCCCAGTCCTTTGTCTGGCAAGAGTGCCTCTTCTCCATGTTCTAGTGGGGCCCTGGTTTGGTTCCTCTTTTCCTACTCAGCTCTAGCCTGAAGCCCCTGGCTTCCCTTCAGCCACCTCAGGCACCAGTTCTGACCTCCAGTCAGTGCTCCTTATTTGATTGACATGGTACCATCTTACCTTCCGGAGCCCCATCTTGGACTCCACCAGCTGCACAGCCTCATAGGCTTATCTGAATTATTTGTGATATTTTACAAATGTTTCATTCAAGATGAAGCTACTTCTGACCTTTTCTGATATAAATCACAAACATGTAGAAAATTACAAACACAAAAGGACAAATCATTCTGTAGGGTAATATAAAGTGAATCAAAATCCTAATATATAACAAAAATAACAACAAAAATATTTATCTTTTTGATAGATAAGTCTCATATTTTCAGTGTACTAGATTATCCTCTTTTTTTCCCCATCAGCCCTAATGTTCTAGAGATTCATAAATGGTAATTAAAGTTTCAAATATATAATTGATGTGCTTCATATCATAGCAGAACTCCAACAATTTTTCACAAATCTCTAATTAGTTAATTAATCTAACAGTTTATTCATGGGACTGATTTAACTTGTGGCATTATCTGATATTTCACATAGCTCACTAAAATTTTTCCAAACTCTGTAATAACTACTGCTTAATTTTGTGCTCCATTAAACAATACTGTGAGTGTAGAAATGTTACATTAAATATAGGAAATTCAATAATTTCTCTTTAAAGCAATGAGTTCTACCACTTTTTCCTTCTTAGACATTTATCATACATGTCATAGAAGTGATAACATGGTTTCACTTACATAAGGATATTTTAAAAGAATGATTGCTAGAAGATGAGGAAGAAAACACTGTCAGAGATAGTTAACTATATAATCTAAAACTCAACATTTAAAAAAGACTCTTCCTGCAGGTAGGATGTTGTTCATTGCTAGAGCACATGCTTCTTGTGCAGGTGGCCCTGGGTTCAATCCCCAGCACCAAACAAACAAAACAAACAAAACGCTCTTATACTATGTTCAAAGCTGTTCATTGAAAGTTATCAGACTGTTAGTTCTCTCTCCTGACTTTTGTATTTTTTTTAAATACAAACCTCTTAAGAAATAAAGCCTATTGCCATAGATGGTAAAACTTTAGTGTGTATGTGATTTTTCTCCCTTTTAAGCTCATGTGAAGTCCTGACTTATAGTAAATGAAGTGGGTAGCATGATTTTCAAACTCACTTAATCCATTTGATTGTTACTCCAGCAAATTGAGCCRATATGTATTAATGCTAGATTAAGAATTAACATAACAAATCAGTCAAGATTCCAGTATTCAGCATCTGACAGYTCTCATGGTAGAAACAGTATAGCTAAAAAGCTACTATAGGCAACAATAATTATATTAATAACAATAAACTTTTGGTGGGGGGGGTATTGTTGCTGTGGACTTAAGCCAGGRCTTCATGGCTGGTAAGCATGCATTTTCCCACTGACCTATGCCTCTGGTCCCTAGGCTTCTTACTCAGTATGACTGAACAATTTAACCATTTAAAATTGTAATGTATACAGGTTTAATAGGTATGTATGGTCAGAAACAAAGATATATGATACATATGATAATATATCACATATGTGATATATGATATATATATATATGACATATATATCTATATATATGTTATATACATATCATTAATGTTAGTCATAGTCAAAGGAAGAAATCCCACAAAACTTTTATCATCATTTTAGGGACAACATGGATTTCTTGGAAATGCTTTCTGGTTATTTAAGTATTTTGTTTTATCATTTATCTAAGATACATTTGTGAATGATTATTATTATAKATTTTAGCTGAGAAATATAGCTGTGCTATATTACAAATCAAATTACATGTATCAGGACTTTCAGAAGAAGCCTTGCGAAATTTTGGATGATCATTTTAYGTTATACATTTTAAATATAAAATAATAGAATTGAAAACACTGTCACCCACATGAAGATTACAGAATGCAATGGAGAGGGGGAAAGTTGCATAAATGTTCAGACAGATTTATGATTTTTACTATCCAATCTTTTTCCTTTAGGGCAAAAATAAGAATAGACAAGAAAATAATAGTCAGCAATCTCTGAAACATGCTATTATTTGATGATTTCTTAGCGTAAAGCAGAAAGGCAAATGAGARCGAAGAGAAAAAAACATCTTAGAGTCACTCCGTAGATTATACCCAAAGCTCTAAACCCTCACTTGGTGCTCTGTCAAATGACTTATGCCTTCTGAACACCTAGAAAGTCTGACAATGTCATTACTGGAGAGGCTGCACTGTGCAGTAGAYGGCTTGTCTGTGCCACTTAAAGTTGCGTAATCCTGGCAAGATACAAAACTTCTTTGGGCCTTCATTTTCTCAGCAATAAACTGATGTTAAAATTACCTAAGAGGCTCTACTGTCATGTTTATCWAAAGAGAATRAATWAAAAAGTTACCTAAGAGGGCAATTGTAAGAATTCATGAGTTAACATAATGCTTTGTACACTGCGTGACACATTGTAAGTGCTCAACAAGGATTAGATATTATAAAGTATTATAAGGTTAAACTCCAAAGTGGAAATTTCCTTTTAAAATCAAGCCAGATTATAGCAGAAGAAAAAAAAATAGCTCATAAATACATGTTAAAATGGTCCACCTAACTAATAGTAAAGGCATTCATGTTAATATGACCTAACATTTTTWAAAAATTAGATAATTTATTTATTAATAAAAATATTAAATGATTTAGGCTTGTGGGTACTTTCATAGCCTTAGGTACACAACCATTTGGGACGACAATTTGTCATGTCATCCTAATAAAATTTTAAATGTTGACATTTTTTGACCCCGAAATTTTACTTGTAAGAATTTTTTTCTAGAAATACCCTAAAATATGTAAATATTTTTATAAATAACTCATTTTGCTGCTGTTATTTTAAACAGGAAAAAATGCTTCTGATCTGAAGGTGTTCTTGATTTAATATAATGTGAAAACAAATTAGTTTATTTATAAATATTACATGATTTCACTTTTGTGAGAAAAACGTATTTCTATATGTGTTTGCAAAGGGAAAAGTGTATATGTTTAAACACATACACACACACACACAAGTTGAAAAGATGTGCAAAGAAATGTGGCCTGCAAACTCATATCTAGCTGTGATGTGCAGCATCTCTATTTATTCAGAAAATGTTCCTAATCTATGCCATGCATTTGTTAGACCTCAATTAATAATAGAGAACCAAAATGAAGACTTCAAGGGAAACCATTTTCTGTAAAAGATATTTGCTGAATGTATTTATGGCATACAGAAAAACCATGATCTCAGAATCTAAGGAAACACAAACAAATAGAAAAGATGAAATTTTTAAGTTAAAGAGATTTGACTGTTAAGGAAAGTAAATATCATAATGTTTTAAAATATCTTGCTTCGATAATTTTAAAAAAATAATCCAGGAAAAAAGTTCTGTATGCACATTAGTTGCAAATCTACTGATGCCTAGTTTTTTTGTTTTGTTTTTTTTCCTTTCTTTAAAAAACTGTGATTATCTTGTTTGTCTCCACAGAGTTACTGGAGGTGAACTATTTGAAGACATAGTGGCAAGAGAATATTACAGTGAAGCTGATGCCAGGTAAGTGACTTGCCCTGGGCAAGATATAAGAATCATCATTCAAATGACTCTTGTTTGATATATATTTATATGTATATATTTAAATGCACCATGACACTTCACGTTTATGAGAATTTCATAATAGCATCTCAGGCTTCTTTTCCTGATAAGTCCTTCTTAATAGAAGTTTATCTCTTCTAAGGATCTCTAGAATGATTCTTAGAAAACAAATCTATGGATCTGGTCTGAATTTTATTTTGATCATTTCTCAGCTGGGCTTGCCATATTCCAAGGGCTTAATAGCCACAAATGGCTAGTGGCTACCAAGTGGACAGAGAGGTCCAGAGCATTTGCATCATCACAGAAAGTTCTGCTTAGCAGAGCACATCAAATTAGAAAGCAGTAACAGACCCATTTGCCCCAGTGGCCTCATTAAAGGTTTTTTATTGGCTCCTTAACTCTTTGGAAGTTTCATTAAAACCCTTGGAACTCTGACATGAAAAATATTTATTTGGGTATTTCAGAGGATTCAAGAGTAATTTCCCAATCTTGTTAATTGGTGATCTCTTTATAGACCTTTTTTAAAGGGCTAACATTTTGTCTACTTTGGAACTTCCTAGGTTTCCCAAAGCAACTTTTTTTTGGAGTGACATAGCAGAAATGCACTTGCTTGCCTATTASTTAGATGGCATGGTGTCAATTTCCTCAGTGTTCCTTATATATTCTGGAGTAGTCGMTTGCTTATTTTGAAAAACTGATGAAGAGCAATTAGCTCATTAGCAATGTAAATGAGATGTTATGAAAATTCAGTTGTGGCCTTTCTGCCCCCATTCTTTATTGCTCTCAGAACTTCCCATTGCCACGCATCTGTAGCAGGACCTTCTGCAGATATTCTGCTGACAGTGGAGGTTCCCCATCCCTCCCGAGTAGCACATGCACACATGAGCTCATTTCCAAATTTCAGATTTTACTTGGTTTAAAGCTACTGTTTATGGCATTCTGTGATTCTATCTGTACATAACATTCTAATTTTTTAATGGAATTTTTACTGCCAATGTCAAATAGAAAGTTCTGTGTCACCTGTGTCATGAAGAGTGAATCATTAGTTATTTAGTGTACCTCAAATCTTCATTAAACCCAGAAAAGGGGTCTCAGAGCAAGTCTATGGTAACCATTTGCCCATTTTCCAAGAGAGAGTAATAATTTTAATCAAGGTAGTAAACAAGTTAGGGAATATAATTTGTCTCTCAAAGTTATGTTAAATGTGCTGATTTATTTGAACAATATTGACTCAAATAAAGATAGAGACTATAGTGACTGTTGAAGAGTCCTATATAGACAATAGGTCAGAAGCTGTGAGTTGTATTATTTAATATGCATGCTTACATTAAGTTTGAAAATTAACAATAGGATATTTTTAGGATAGGTCCTACAAAAAAAAAAAATGAAGGAGAAGCATTCTCTTCCAGTTACAAGCACAAAGGGGTATATTCCTTAAAACATTTGTAAAAGTCTGTTTTCTTAGTAGCTCTAAAGAATTTAAGAACTGAGAAACAAGGAATGTGGCTCCGTGGTGGAACACTGGTCTAGGATGTACAAAGCCCTGGTTTTGAACACCACAAAAAAACAAAAATTAAAATGAAAAAAAAATTAAGAGTTGACTCTATCCTCACTAGTCAAAAATTGTAAAGGTGAATAATGTTTACTTTTTTATTTTCTATTATTCCCTAGGCCCAATAATTTATACTTGTGTTTTGAGAAAAGAAAGAAAAAAAGAAAAAAGGAAAGGAAAAAAGGGGGGATATGAAGTGAATATCATGATAGAAGAAAAAAGACTCACTTGATTTAAAAATAATGAATAATACTCAAATAAGCTTCATAGTCAATGACCACCAGTGTGAGATTCTTTTACTATTACTGTTGATAGAACTTGAGCTACAAAATCACAATCATCAATTTTTTTATGTCTATACTATAATAAATCTGATTACTTTTTAAATTCATCAATTTCTTTTAGAGTAGCATTATTTTGTACATTAAATGATTGAAAATGTCCTTATCAAATCGTTCACTCCACCCTTAAAAGAATGTAGTTCTGTTCATACTTGCACTTGAATTGCACAGTGAACTTTTACAAAATTCATCTGTGTGATATGTTCTGCATTATTGCATGTCAGATAACAGCTCATGGGACCYTATGGGTGGCAGTCAAATGATTTCTCCTATTTTAATTAGCAGTCTATTTGTCATTAGTGAGCTTTTATTGAGAATAGCATAAAAGTTGCATTTTGAATAGTAATAAGCAAAAGCTTCCCTTCACTAAAGTGTATAGAAGTGGGTTTAACAATTACCAGTACTCTAGGGGATTTAAATTTTTTATTGATGTATATATGTGTTATTTATTTATTTGTGCAAGCTCCCCAGTCCTTCCCCGGGGTATTCTTATACTGAAGAGGGTTTATTTTATGTCATGAGTCTACTTTAAATTCTCCCTCTGTTATTGGAGACTTGCATTAGTTTTCCTATTGACATATTATACAGGAAACACCACTTCTGAGTCAAAATGGTAAATGTGTCCCTTTTTTTTTTTTTAATCCTCGTTTCACCTGCCACTTCATCTGTGTTTACCCTCTTGTTTCAACACCTATGTTTAATTGTGACCTCAGATTTTAAACAGTTTAGATGTGTCTGAGAAAAACCTAGAAATTTTATCTCTCTGGAGAATTTTCCCAGAACATTTTTGGTAATTATTTATAAATTTTTCTTCCTAAATATGGAAATTTCAAGTTTTGCATTGGATGATTTAATTTGTAGACTTAATAATGAAAAAAAAAACACAGCTCAAATTGTTTTGTCTGAACCTGTCACAAATTCTATGTTGGATGTCATTTTTGTTAGAACCAAAATTAGCTTTATTCAACATTATTTAATTCTGATGTAAAGCTAAAAACAAAGTGAAGAACTACAATTTTTGTTTGTTTGTTTGTTTCGTTTGAATTTTCATTTTATTTTGTATTCAATGTGATTATGTGCCTTTAAAATGTTCTCCCTTCCATTCTGCCCTTGTATCTTTGCAGTCATTGTATACAGCAGATTCTAGAAAGTGTAAATCATTGTCACCTAAATGGCATAGTTCACAGGGACCTGAAGGTCAGTATATGGAGTCCATAAATCTGAATCAAAGGAGATTCGTTGTTGTTGTTGTTGTTGTTTTCTTGGGAAAGGGCAGGGTGGGTGGTTATTTAATATGGTTCCTTTGCCTTTCCCACTTTCTCCTGAAATGAGTAAATGATGAAATGATAATGCATGATGGCTCTTTCAGTTTGCTCATCTACAGGCTAAATATACATCATAGCAAAAAGGGAAGGACACTATGAAGAATACCACCTGTTATGTTTCCAAGCAATAAACCACCAGAGGCAGTTTGGGGGCAGGCTTTCCTCAATTGTCCCGCATTAACCTGGAGATAAACTCGGCCTGTGATGTATGTCCGCCTGTAGATTTAAACACCACTTCTGTTCTGAGACCATGGGTTGCTGTAGCAGAACAACTGGTTACACATTGCTCCATTTGAGTCTGACGAACCCTTAGGCAAGAGATAATAATTGCCAGCTAAATTAAAGCACAAAAAGTTAATGATTTATCAAAAATTCATTACGTATCCTAATTTAACCTTAATGGTGTCTTGCCTGCTAATGTAACAGCTTTTAAAATGATACCAGAAAAAATGGGAGAGAATAAGGGTAACAGTTTTTGTGCATGGGGTGAAGACTGAGGACAATAACTACAGAGATTATATTTGTGTTCCAGTTCATTTCCTGGAAGAATTTATAGCCAGGAAATGAGCTCTTGAACCAAATGAAATATTGTCAAAATGGATTTTTCTAGAACAGGTTGATCCACACTTGGGCTTATATCTGGCAAGATTCCGATTGTTCTGAGGTAGTAGTCACTCTACTTGAGCAATATGTTTACATGACTGAAGGAGGTAAAATACAACTCCAGTTGTCTGCTAGCTCTGCACTTTAACCCAGTCTCTCTGAGGGTATACAGACAGTGAGTGTAAGCTTGGAACTAACACACGCCCCCTGGTGTTTGCATGCAGTCATTGCATTCAGCAGATCCTGGAGGCTGTGCTACACTGCCATCAGATGGGCGTAGTCCATCGGGACCTGAAGGTGAGTAATGCCTTTGGAGAAGATTAAACCACCACATAGTTCCTAATGACTGTTCAGCTGCAGTTATGCTTGTAAAGGCAAAAATATAAGCAATAAAGTTGTTGCTTAATGTATGGAATCCATCCAAAACTTTCCCTCACCAGGCACTTTCTCTCACCACAACCTCTTATCTCTAATACACACTTGAGGCATATAAATTCTTATTTATTCAGAGAGAAATAATTTCCTAACATTAACAATAAATAGATTTCTATATTCCCTTACTCCTAGGAATAGATATAGCATTTAATGTGACTGTCAGTAGGGCTGATGATCTCTTCTTCATTTTAAAATTGTTCTGTGGACATTGATCGAACGTGTTATTTAATATTTACATTATATGACTAACATTTTGTAAAGAATTCTCAAAATTAGGGCTGGGTTTGTGGCTCAGTGGTAGAGCACTTGCCTAGCATGCATGAGGCCCTGGGTTCTATCCCCAACACCACATAAAAAAAACTAAAACAAAATAAAGGTATTATGTTTGTCTACAACTAAAAATATTTTTTAAAAGAATTATCAAAATTATAAGTGTTATTGCATAGACTTTTGGCCCAAATGTTTGGATACCATTATGAACTCTGATATTCTCTTTCCCCTACCATTAGTTCTGGGAATTCTGAGGACATTTGAGAGCTTCTTGGTTCTAAATGTATTTGTATTCCTGGGGACCAAGATATTCTTGTCTTCTAAAAATACAGATGGGAAAATACATAGAATATCAGGTAATGTGCATATAATATATAAGTTATATTCTTATATCACTGACCTCACTCAGTGTCTTCTACCATTGAGGACAAGATAGTTTTAGATCATTTAGAAATAAAGTAGTTCAAAAAGATACTCCTCTTTCATTAATTTTCTGTTCTGTTCTCTCAACATTTTAGCTTTACTTGTGGTATTTCAGAAAAATAGTGAAAGCCCAGAAATTTAAATGAAAGAAAACTACAGGCTAGGGGAAATAGCTAATGTACTATATCGCACCACATATTTTCAATTCATTGTCAACAACCTCAGTGTTTTCTAGGCTTTAGTACAAAAGTGGCAAATTTAGAATGTCTAACACTGTAGGTGTTCAGTGGAAGGACTTACACTGTTTTCTTTGTGTAGACTTCCCTAGCTATAATCAATTGTAAATATGTAGTTTCCATTCATTTAATGATCTAGGAGAATATACTTCTAAATATCAACAGTTGGTTACATGAAGATGTGATTTGTATGCAAAACACTGACTTAAGTTTCTTGGAATCATTTGATTTCAGTTGATTCTGAGAGTTTTAACTACCAAAGGCAAGGCAAGTCTAAAGGTATTTTCTTTGAGTCAAGATAGGACTTTATACTAAATGTACCCATTATGATCAAGGAAAAACAGTGTGTTCCTTTGAAAATTCATATCTTCGGCAGTCACCCCAAAATTTCTCACTAGCTATGTACAGCAGACATAACTCATTTTTGTTACATCTCAGAACTTTCCTTTTTACCTTTTTACATATGGGCATGCACAATATTTGTGCTATTTTATCAAATACTCTATTTCATAAATCTATTACTTGAAACATTTTATTCCATGTTATATAAACTGAAATATACTGTAAAAGTTAAGCATAAGCAGGGCACAGTGGGCACACACACCCATAATCCCAGTTACTCAGGAGGCGGAGGCAGGGAGACAGAAAGTTTGAGGCTATTCTACATAATTTTGTGAGACCCTGCCTCAAAATAAAATTTTAAAAAGGGCTGGAGGTGTAGCTCAGTGGTAGAACACATGCTTAGCTTGTGCTAGGCCCAGTAATGCCAAGAATGAAAAAAAAAAAAAAAGGCAACTGTGAAAAGTGTGAATTCTCTTTTATAACTTTTAAGTTATATTTTGTGGGAGTCACAATATGGTTAAGGTCCTGTGATAAGGTCCTCCCATTAGAAGCAGCATATGTCCACCTTGAGTGTTCTGAATCCCGGCTTGGTTTTATGCCTTTTACCAAGATAGATATTCTGTGTGATGAATATTCTGCTTGTAATTGTATATTTACCAATACAGTAAAATAGAGAAAAGAGATGAACTGCTGAAGTTTATTACCAGGCTTTAAATAAAAAGAGGCCTGCAGTATTCCTCTGCCATATTTTTTTTCATTTCTTTATCCCAACTCATATGCTAGTTTGTACTCAGTTAAAATGTTTAATGCACATTGGTTCATATCAGAGAGAGAGAAAGACATAGGAAATCTTGTGTTTTTTATCATTATCAAATGCATCTATGGCATTTGTCTTTATGCCTCTCATTGGAAATGTAGCTGTTCCACCATACCCATCATAAGACCTTAACCTAGCAAATACTTGCAACATATTCTTTTAATTTTGGAATGAATGAAATTCAACCAAAAATACAAATGTATGTGAATTATATATTCATGATATAAATATTTATAATATAAAAGGCAATCTTAACAGATTATTGAGCGTGTTAATATTTGGATAACATAAGGATGAGAATATCTTCAGACTGAAGAATCCCAGTAGAACATTTAGTTAACTGCCACCCTGTGGAATCCACCAGTTCGGAAGCATAGAACCACAAGATTGAAGCAACTGGAGGATGTCCCAGAAACAAGTAATAGGAAAAGTTCCAGAATGATAGAATATTAACATAAAGAAGTACACCAGACAGCACCAAGCAGTACCCTGTGGATACATGGATTGCAGTCTATCATCTGAGATGCAGCCAGTGGCGGCCAGTTGATGTGGACCCAGGTTGTATTGGAGACATCTAGCACTGATGAAAAATTATACTATTATAGCTGAAGAATAGGACTGGACTCTTTGGGAAGGTCTGGATCAAGGCAGGACCTTAGCAACCCTATGCTGTATAATGTGAATCTTCACAACAGCTTTACACGAAAGGTACCGGTGATTATCTCCATGTTTACTTCGGGAAAATCTGGTAACCATAAGTGAAATAACTTATTCAAATTCACTCAGTTAGTAAGATGTGATTATGCCCTAGCAATTTTGTTCCAAGTCTACATAGTTAATTACTACCACCTCTCAATTCAGTTAAATGAATTAAAACTTTTACAGAGATCAAAGAGTAGATCAAAATAATACTGGGCAAATAATTTTATTACTAGCTTTATGAACTATTTGGTAAATGGTTAATAAATCAAAAGGCTTTAATAGTCATGCCTATTAATCTTCCAGAAATAACAAAATTTTTATCATTAAGAACAAAGAAAATAAGGCATATTTAACTTATAATGTGGAATAGAGGCAACATAATTTGACAATAGACTAGTGTATAAAGTAAAGGTTTCCTACTTAGAAAATTAATAAGTTGACATAGCCAACAGACTTTGTAAAATGAGATGTAGTTAAAATGTTTTGTTTGTTTGTTTGTTTGTTTGTTTGTAGTGCTGGGATGGAATTCAGGGCATCATGCATGCTAGGCCAGCCCTCTGCCACTGGGCCACATCCCTAGCTGGAGACATAGAAAAGAAAAAATATGCATTTGCCACATTTGATCTAGACCATATGAAGACAATCAGTTTGGGGGGAGTAAGTATATCAGACAAGTTCTTCCTCCCAAAGAATATTAGGTCAAAGAGAGTTTGCAGTAACAAATGACAACAATTCTTGATGTCACAAGAAATATGGAAATATCAGGTTAGATGGCATAAACTCTTATTTAAAAACCTATCAAGCTTGGCCTGGTTGCACACATCTATAATCCCAGCTTCTTGGGAAGCTGAAGCAAGAGAATCAGAAGTTGAGTCAAGCCTGGACAACTTAGCAAGATCCTATCTCTTTTAAAAGGGGCAGGGATATAATTCAAAAGTAGAGCACTCCTCAATACCAGGAAAGAAAATAAAATAAAATAACCTACAGAATATAACTTCTGTGAATTAGTTGACAAAAGTAAAAAGAGTTACTATAGCTATGCTT